GTAGTCTGAGACAGGAGGCAAAGAGATCCCGGTTATTTATTTAACAAAGAAGGAGATGCGGCCAAGCCGCCCGCCGCCGCTCCCAGCATGGCAGCTCTAAGGTGCTGCTTCCCAATATGGCGCCTCATCACGCGCTCAATTCTCGCGAGATCTCGACAGTATTTCTACCGCGCCGGCGGCGCATCTGCCCTTCCGGTCCGAGCGGCGGCAGCCATGAGGTGGGTCTGGTGGCCATCCACCGCCATCCGCCCTGTCAACCGTCATCCACACCCGGTGGGGTACCGAGGCCGTCCGGGCCGCCGGTGGGGCCCGGTCAACGGGGTCAATCGCGGGGGGAACGCGCGGGAACCGGGTCGGGCTCGGGCCCGCGTCCTGGGCGGAGCCGGCCTTGAGCCCGCGTTGTTTCCCCCCGCAGCAGCAAAGTGTCCCGGGACACCCTGTACGAGGCGGTGAAGGAGGTGCTGCACGGCAGCCGTGCCAAGAAGCGCAAGTAAGAGCCACGGACACGGCGGGAGCGGACGTGTCACACCCCCAGCCTCGGCCTTCCCCCTTCCGTGCCCGGCCAGGCCTCACCCGGTGCCTCCCGCAGGTTCGTGGAGACGGTGGAGCTGCAGATCAGCCTCAAGAACTATGACCCGCAGAAGGACAAGCGGTTCTCCGGTACCGTCAGGTTCGCCATCCTCTCGCTCCTACCCAGCCTTCGGCCCTGCCCGGCCCTGCTCGGGGCCTCCGCAGCTCCGAACCGCTTGGGGAGTCCAGTGCGCCTCGGCCCAGTGGGAGCGGCTGGACGGACCCTCACCCTGGGTCTTAAAACATGAGGGGAGGTGCAGCAGCCTCAGGGCTGTCCCCACCGGCCTGCTGGGGACGGCAGGTGAGCGGCTGTGCTGGATGCCCGTTGCTGTGGTAAGGTGTTTCCGTGCTGGCTCCATGGACACGCAGGTGGTGCTGGCTGGTCACTCACTTGGACCTTCCTTCCTTCCTTGTTTCCGCAGGTTGAAGTCGACGCCACGGCCCAAATTCTCCGTCTGTCTGCTGGGGGACCAGCAGCACTGCGATGAGGCCAAAGCAGTTGACATCCCTCACATGGACATAGAAGCTCTAAAGAAGCTCAACAAAAACAAGAAGCTGGTGAAGAAGCTGGGTGAGTGTCAGTAAGGCTTTTCCCTATGCTCAGATTTCCATATCATGGTTAGTTGCAGAGCTGAAAAGCTGATCAGAGTCAACTCCAGTACCAAAATCTGCCCAAAAACTATTCAGAAAAGCCACCAGGTTGTTTCCAGTGCAGGTTTCACAGGTCAGTACTGCAGAACTGGAGCTGATGGTCCAAGGAAGGGAGAGAGACTGAAAATGTCCCTGTTGACAGTTTCACCCTTCCTTGTGTCCCTCAATTTCCTGGTCAGGGAACTGGAGGGCAGCAAAAGCCAAGAAATGCTAGAAGCCAAGAGTGTGTTTTAGTCCTGCAGTTCTTACATGAACAGAATGAAATGCATTCCTTTTTTCTTGCTCAGAGAGAAAAATCTTTCCCTGAGAATTCCAGAGTCCCTGAGATACATTCCTCAGGCAGACAGGAACTTTCCCCTCAATCCATAATGTGCCATAGAACTATGTGCTGTTAGGAAATGACCGTGATTGTTGGCTAAGCCTCTTCTAGATGGATCCACTATCACATTCATCCTAGTGTCCACAGTCTGTAGCAGAGCTTGGAGTTAGTTCAGTGTCACCTGGGGCTTAGCAAAGAACAGTTCGTCAGGGAACAAGCTGTCATTTGGAGTCTGTGTTGAGTGAGGCTGGGGCCTGGCTGCTGTGGCAGTCATTCCTCAGAGATTGTAGGCAAAACCAGCTCCAGTTAGGAGGGACCCAGGGAACTGAAATTGCAGCAGGGAGTTGCATGTTCTCAGCTGAGTCCCTCACTGGGAGGTTGGTGTGGGAGCAGGGTCCATCCTTACCTCCCAGGTTGTCTCCTTGCAGCTAAGAAGTACGATGCCTTCCTGGCTTCTGAGTCCTTGATCAAGCAGATTCCTCGAATCCTGGGCCCAGGCCTGAACAAAGCTGGGAAATTCCCTTCTCTCCTCACCCACAATGAGAATCTGGTGGCTAAGGTGGATGAGGTCAAATCTACCATCAAGTTTCAGATGAAGAAGGTAAAGCATGGCTTTAGTTGTGTACCTGAGGGTTGTTCTGTGTCTCTGCCATGTCTGGGTTGGACTGTAGATGTCCCTCGAGTGTTCCTCAAACTGTGGCAGTTTCCTCCAGCAAAGGGAAATGGTATTGGGAGTGTTCCATGGCCAGCCAGAAAGGAGGAATAATTTAACTGTGGTTGGCAGATTTTGGAACAAATTATGAGGAAATTATTAGATGTTTCAATGCTGAGTACAATGCAGTGAAATTAATGCTGCTACCAGCATGTGGGTGCTGCTCAAGGAGGGGGACCTGGCCAGGTGTGTCACCTGGAGTGTGAGTGGTGCTTTTTTGGGGGTCAGTCTGGGACTTGACTCTGTCTGAGGGAACTTGGGAGCAGCTCTGTGGGGATCTGCTCTTGCTGTTGTGGTGAACTGACTCCCTCAAACCAAAATAACCCTGTTCAGGCATGCTAACCCTGTGTCAGTGGGCCAAGTGTGACTCCTGGGGGCACAGCTGGGAGGACACAGCAGATGTGAGGGTTTGCAGATGCTTGTTAAAATAGCTGAGCTAATGTGTCCTGACACTTGGCCTGTCGGCTCACTCCAGCCTGTGGGGAGCGTTGGCCTCCAGGCTGCTCAGGGAGGCCAGGCGGGAGGAGTGGCCCTTCTGGGCTTTTGTCACAGTGCAGAGAGAGAGAGGGCTGGGGGCTGGCCCCAGGGGCAGAAAGGGAAGCTGGTGTGGGCTTGGCAGAGCAGGGTAACACTGAGCTGTGCTCCTGTGCCAATTATTCACAGTGTGCCACAGGTCCTTCCTGGTGTCCCATTATGTGGGAGGCAGCCGTGCTCCCACCTCACCCAGTCACCTCTGCACGTGTTAGAGGTGGTGTCCAGGTGCTACAGGGAGCCATAGGCCAGGTGGAAAAGCCTGTGGGTGGGCTGGGGAAGCCATGTCCCGTGTCCAAACCATGGAACAGCACAACACACTGAAGAGTGGGGTCAGCTCTTGTCACCTTTGCTTTGCCTGTGAAAGCTGTACCTGTGTCTCTCCCCAGGTGCTCTGTCTGGCTGTGGCTGTGGGTCACGTGAAGATGACAGAGGATGAGCTTGTCTACAACATCCACCTGGCCATCAACTTCCTGGTCTCACTGCTGAAGAAGAACTG